AAGTGGAGTGTAAACAAACGGCACACTTACGCTAAGCCAGGGCTTCACCTTCACAAATAAGGAGCTACATTGTGTTGACTTGCTGTTTTTTTTTTCTTTTCGTCCCCAAAATGGAGTCGAGTCTCCAAGGGGTCATAACACGAACAGACCGTTTCTTCTTTTTTTCTTCTTCTATTTAAAGTAATGGTTAACGAACTTACCTCATTGCAGATGACAGCTGGAGTTCGTCTCACGCAACCGAAGGCTGCTTTCAGTCCAAAACCAACACTGACTGCCTATAAAACGGTCGCAGAGATGGATTACTTTCATAAAGTTGTCATTTCTCATTCACAGCCAGCAACCATCTTCCAGTCAAAGCTCTGCATGTGGGAATGAATAAAACCATCAAAATACATAAACAGAAATACATACAGGCCTGAAACTTGAAGCCTTGGCTCAGCTCATTACTCATGACTGTTTAAAAAATGTCTGACCAATGGGACCTCGGTGCTGACCAGCTCGGATGGACTCTGCATCAACTGAAACACAGCCAAGAGTTTATTCCAGTCTCAGTTGTCATGGTGACCAACAGGATTGGTTCATTGGGAAGAACTGATTGTTTTAGACATTTAGAGTGTTTTTAGTTTCTAATCAGTCTGACCTAAACCTAATGCTGGGCTAACCTAGACATAGCACTGGCCAAACCTAAAGCTACCCTTACCCAAACTTAAACCTAACATTATTCAAACCTACACCGAACGCTGACACGAGCCTAAACATAACAATACTCTAACCTAAACTTAATGTTACGGTAAACTAATCCAAACGTTAAGGTACTATTACCCAAACTTAAACCTAACAGTACTCCAACCTCAACCTAATGGCCTAACCTACACTTACAATTACTCTAAAGCTAAACCTCATCCCAATGTCACTCAAACTTAACCCTAAAATGACCTCAACCCAAACATTATAATAATAATGAATCACAACCTGAATCTAATCTTACTCTAACCTAAACTCAACATTCTGCTTATCTAAACTTGATATTATCCAAATATAAACATAGTTCTACCCCAATCTACATTTCATAAAACATAACCTAATCCTAGGTGTATAAATACCTTACCCAAACCTAAATCTAATGTTATCCTAACCTAAACCTAACATGTCTCTGAATCTAAATCTAGCACTAAATTACTTAAACATAATTCAGTCCTAATATAAACCTAATGAATCATAACCTAACCCTAACTTAAACCTAGCTTTATCGATATATAACCCAATCTTAAACCTGATGTTACCCAAATCTAAACCTACATGTTGCTAATTTAAACCTAATATTACATTGACTTAAACATAATTTTGCCCTTATCTAAACCTAATGAATCATTATCTAAACCTAACCTAAATCTAGCTTTATCAACATATAACGCAAACCTAAATGTAATGTTACCCTAACCTAAACCTAACATGCCTTTAACCTGAACCTAATTCACTCTAATCTTAATATAATAATAGTAATTCTAATGCCGCTGCAAGGTGGCGCAGTTGGTTAGCACTGTTGCCTCGCAGCAAGAAGGTCGCCGGTTCACGTTTCACGGTTCTTTCTGCGTGGAGTTTGCATGTTCAGCGTGGGTTCTCTCCGGGTTCTCCGGCTTCCTCCCACAGTCCAGAAACATGCTGAGGTTAATTGGTGATTCTAAATTGTCCGTAGGTGTGAATGTGAGTGTGCTTGGTTGTCTGTCTCTAAGTGTAGCCCTGTGATAGACTGGTGACCTGTCCAGGGTGTCCCCTGCCTTCACTGTAAGTCGGCTGGGATAGACTCCAGCCCCCCATGACCCTAGTGAGGATTAAGTGGTGTATAGATGATGGATGGATGGAATTCTAATGCCACCATAACTTTACTCTAAACTAAAACTACATTATGGGGACTTCATGCTTTCTGTCTCCAAAAAAGGAGAATTTTTACAACATGAGTGATACAACACACACACACACACACACACACACACACACACACTCACACACACACACACACACACACACACAGTGTTGTGTGTAAACAGCTGGACTCTGTCAGACGTCTTTCAGCCCTATTGATCAGCTGATGGTATCAATCAGCCAGAGTGTGCCGAGTGTTTACTGTCACACACACATCAATGGACGACATGACGACCGAACACAAGCGGCCTCTGGGCAGAGAACCGAGTTACCACGTCTGTAATGTGCTGTGGAGCTAAACCATTAAGGCCTCTATAAACAAACCGTAAAAGTTGAGTTCTTCTGTATTTCGCTGGTAATTAGTTCAAATGAGCCAGATCTGCTGTCTTTCCTTTGTAACAGCTTAAAGCCTGCCAGCTGCTTTCTAAACTACCTGCATGCCTCGACCCCCACATACTGGGAGTTACAGTATTCCAGCCACCAGATAATAAATGCACCGATCGTGGTTTCCACCTTCTTGTGAGTTAAAATTAGCTTCAATCTGGTGATGGTTCTCACTGATGAAAACTGCCCTCATCACACAGCTGCCCTGTTTATTTTAACTGAAAGAAGAGTTCAGGAAGACTCATCTAATCTCATCGTACCTTTAACAGGATGTTAGGACAAAACCTTACGTTAGATTTTACTTAGTGTGGTTTTAAAATGTGTTGAACGTGGCCTGAGATCAGCTGAACTCTTCTTTCCCACAGAGCATCAAATAGCCGCCACTTCACTGCGCGTGGGAAATCCCAGCGCTGCTGACAGAACGCTCTGAGCTGTAATCTGCTCCATCATCTCTGCCGTTCAAAATTGCTGAGTTGCTGAAACACAGTCGAGCATGCGGAGAGCGGATCACATGACTCAGCAGATTCACAAACCGCAGCGCGACTCTGTTTGTTTGTTTGTTTGTTTGAAGGTGCTGATGTCACCGGAGGCTGAATCTCCGTGGGAACAAGGTTATTTTCAGCTTCTGTCTTCTTCTGTGCAACTGCCCCTCCAAAACCTTTGCTGTTTTAGTGCATATTGTTTTTTATAAATCAGTTTGTGTTGGCATTACTTTGGTATTTAAAGTAATTAACTCCCAGCTACAGGCAAAGTTGTGTTATTCCATGACATCAGCCCGATGACGCTGCAGCGGTTATGTTTAATTACTATATTTAGCATTTAAAATGTCAGGTGATAGTGAAAGTCATATTTTCCCCTGCGGCCCTTGTGAACATATTGTCTTTGCTGTTTTTATATGATGAGTAGTTTACAACTCCACAGATGTGTTGTTTATTTTTTACAACAAACCAAACAGCCAACAAATATTTATATTCAAAAAGCTGCTACCAGAAAATAAAGTAATGGAAAGTCGCTAAATGTACGGCTAAAATCTGAGAAACATGCCAACAACACAGCTAAAGCCGTAGTCCAGGGGTGTCCAATCCTGGTCCTGGAGGGCCACAGTCCTGCATGTTTTAGATGTTTCTCTCTTCCAACACACCTGATTCAAATGATCAGGATCGTTATCAGGCTTCCTCCAGGACCAGGATTGGACACCCCTGCCATAGGAAGATGCTAACTACACAGCCTAAATCGTAAAAGCCAACAACACGGCCTAAGTCATAGAAACATGCTAACTATACAGCTAAAATCAAAATAATATGCTAACTACACGGTCAAAATCATAGACAGCTGCTAGTTACCCAGTTAAAGCAATGATAAGATGCTAACTATCCAGCTAAAGTCATAGAAAGATGCTAACTACACAACTAAAGTCATAGATAAATACTAACAACGAAGCTTAAGTCATAGACACACGCTAACTACACAGCTAAAGTCATACAAGCATGCTAACTACACGGTTAAAATCATGCATAGATGCTAATTGTATTTCCGTCATGCCCCCATGTATGATGACAATAAAGCTATTCTGTTCTATTCTATTCTAATTACACAACTCAAGCAGTGGGAAATACTAACTAGTTAACAGCTAAAGTCACAGAAGGACAACTACACAGCTAAAATCAGAGGTAGATGCTAGCTGCACTGCTAAATATCATGGAGAGACACTAACTATACAGCTCAAGTCATAGCACTATTTTAACTAGACAGCCAAAGTCACAGAAGGATGCTAACTAAACAGTAAAAGTCACATGAAGATAACTACCTACACAGCTAAAGTAATAGAAAAATGGTGATTGCACAGCTAAAGTCATAGACTGAAGCTAATAACACAGCTTAAAGCATAGAAAGATGCTAAATAAACGACTATAGTCATTGACAGATGCTAACTATCCTGTTAAAAATCATAGAAAGAAAACTACAATGCTAAACTCAGAGGACTATGTTAAATGAAAGTCGATGAGCTAGCCGTGGCTAACCTTAACAAGCTAAGTTTGGTCATACATTTTCTACTTGATGTCGTCTGCAAATAAAATATGTCCATTTTTATGAACGCACTGAAAAATTTGGTTGTTCAGTTCAGTGGAGAGGGAAAACAGCTAAACTCATGCTAAAGGTGGCTAGCGTAGCAGCTCTCAGTGGTTGTCATTTTATCTTTTGGCTCCAGTAAAATTTCTAAATTAATATATTCTACTGATTCAATAAATATGAATGGAAGTGGGATGGATTGAACTGAGAAGTCAAAGTGTGGTCTTTGATCTGAAGGTCAGTTTGTGCAGTTCAGATGGTTTTTAATCCTTGTTTGGGTTTACAAAATGTATATATATTTTTCACATTTAGTTGTTGCATATATAAGTATTAAAGCTCTGTAAATAAATTTGGAAATTTGGAAAAATGGTGGAAATTGTGTTTTTTTTCTCTCTTTTTTTTATTCCAAACAAACATTCAACTCATATTTACATTATGTAAAAAAACAACAACAACAAAAACACCTTCCTGTTTTAAATGTATGAAAATATTTTTAAAAGATAAATAGCAACATTCACACACTTTTTACAGTGAGTTTGGTCCATTGTGGCTGTTTCAGGTCAGCCAAACATCCATCAAACGGTAAAATTCAACATTCAACATTTCAGCATAAACAAGAGAAGTCACTGCTGGAGAACCAGAGAGTCAAGAGGCAGAGCGTCACTGAAGCCCCCAGAGAAGAGAGGCTCACACTGGGCCTGCAGCTGCTGCAGCTGCTGGTCCTCCTGGAGCTCCGGCAGCGGACAGGACGCCGTCTGCAGCTCGACGTACAGCGGCGACAGGCCGGTCTGAGGGTCGGCGACGGAGGGGAAGTGTGGGGGAGTCGACTGAGAAGAGGGGAAGAGAAGAGGAGGAGGAGGGGAGGAGTAGAGGGGAGGAGAGGAGCTGCAGGCATCCCACTGAGGCACCACGGCGCCAGGCGAGTACGAGGACATGAGCCCCTGAGGAGGCGGAGGAGGGGAGGCCTGGTCTGGTACCTGCATGTACAGCGACGAGGAGGACGGAGGAGGAAGGAGGTGACTCAGGAAGCTGGAGGTGGCGTCTGGGAGAGAAGGCAGCTCAGTGCCGCCGCCGCTGCCGCAGTGCATGCTGGGAAGTTTAGGACTAGGCTCTGATGACGAAGACGAGGAGGCGGACGGTTTCTTGTCAGCCACAGCGAGGTCGGCCTTCCTCTTCCTCTTGCGGCGGAAGTTACCGTTGTCGAACATCTTCTCACAGTTTGGGTCCAGAGTCCAGTAGTTTCCTTTACCTGATGAGGAGGATTGAAGACAAGCGTCAGCAACTGTGTCTCGTCTTTACATCAATAAAGGATAATTAAAAACTTTACACAGCTTCTTCCTCACTGAACACATGTTTTATTAACAGGTCAGCTACGACTACAAGAGTTTTATTTGTCTCGACACAGACCTCAGAGCCGCTCTATTCTGTTGCTCACCTGCTATTTAAAGTCACAAACCATCTACAAGGTCAACAAACTACCAGAACCAGCTGCGTTTTACTCCAGTCAGCCGTCTTACTTTGCAGACAAACTGACTGGAGTTTGGTCAGGAGCAATCAAAGCTTGTTTTTTGTTAGAAACACTGTAAAAGTTAGACTGGTTGGACTTGAACCTGTTGTTTAAACCTGTTGCCTAAAGATTTCCTGGTGAAATGAACTAAATGAGATGAGAGAGGAGAAGCTCAGGTGTGTTCGACTCACCTGGGTCGCGCTCATCACGAGGAACTTTCTGGAAACAGTCGTTGAGCGACAGGTTGTGGCGGATGGAGTTCTGCCAGCCGGCCTTGTTGCGGCTGTAGAAGGGGAAGTTGTTGGAGACGTACTGGTAGATCTGGCTGAGCGTCAGTCGCTGATCGGGCGCGCTCTGGATTGCCATGGCGATGAGGGCTGAGTAGGAGTACGGCGGTCGGACCAGACTCAGGACGTCGTCCGGGGAGGACAGGGAGAACCAGGAGCCACCGGGGAGCCTGTGGAGGCCGTAGAGATGGTGTAAGAAGCCTCTGAACGCTGGGGGGAGTCCTGGAGGGCCGTCTGTGGCCCCAGGAAGGGGCCCCTGGTCTGGGCTGCAGAGGAAGGAGTCGGCCTGGCCGCTGGTCGGCGGGAGCCACGGTGTCGGGCTGGACTCAGGAGGAGGTGGAGGGCTGTAGAGGCTGAAGTCGGACGGATCGAGGCCCAGAGACGGAAGCTCCTGCTGGGGGAGGCAGCGTCCCCACACAGGGGGGGACAGACCCTGCTCTGGCACGAAGGACGCCATGTCTGTCTTGACTGTCTGCAGCTGCACCTGTCTGCTCTGTACACCTGCTGCTCACCTGAGACTCTTATAGCCTACAGCCCCGCCCACGGACGAGCTGATTGGCTGCTGAGGGTGTGAGCGCGTGGAGGGGGTTGATTTGAATAAGAACAGGTTGAATTCCTCCCCCGGGGCAGATAAGAGCCTCAGGATTTAATGCTGAGGTATGCAGCCTGACAATTGACTGATTGAGGCTCTTTTTACAGTTTCAGACGTTACAGAGTCTCGACGGCTGAAAGTCGCTGATTCACACTGAAAATAAAACAAAGTCCAACAGTCTTCATTTTACGGATCCTCAGGTTTCCAACTGATTTCACTTTGTTTTGTACTGAGAGTTTCCTGAAGCACAACTGGATTTTATCTGTAAGTGTAACTCAATAAGTCACATTTTTAGACATGATTAACATGATTTCACACCTTTTTCATAAGTAAATGTTAACAGAAAATCCTAATTAGTAATCACTTATTTGCTGCTTAAGTAAACATCTGGTGCTGAGACGTTTCCTGTAGTTTTACATTAAACTGAATATTTTAACCAAACATCAGATAACGTGAATCAAATTATTTTTTTTTAATTACTTTCCAGCATTTCTTCACAGTAAAATCATCAATCAATCAATCTTGTGGAACTGGAAAAGCAGCAGAATTAAGTTCCATAAATAAAGTCTCGATAAAGCACGTTTAAGATCTGTGCACATTAAATATAAACGATGTCGCTGCTTTTTAAGACTCTACAGACCTGATTAACCGGTGGAGTCGTGAATCGAATTATTCAAGCTATTTCTGTGTCTTCATCATGCAAACAGAAAAAGTTTGCAGCCCCTAAAATAGACTTGAGAGCAAAACTATACACTGCACTGAAAAAATATGTTTTACTGTATTTCTAATGTAATTCTAAAGTTTCATTTGCGAATCCCAAAATCTTGGTTGTGTTTTTGGAAACAAGTTGCAACACAAACGTTTCACATGTGGCAGCACGTTGAGTTTCACTAAACGATGTGTTCAAGTTCTCGTCCACTGAGCTGCTTCCTGAAGTTTGTAACATTTCGTACAAAGATGTGAATCTACAGCGAGTTATGGAGCAAGAAAGTAGCACAATGAGACCTGAACGTATCAACAGACTCTTACGTGGTGCTGCAGGTAAAACACTGGACGAACCTGCACAGTGCATCTTTAATCCTCTGACTTTTTAACGGTCCTTAAACTGCCCATCTGTGACGTGTTCCATTAATAAACACAACTAAATGTCAGCATAAAATCATCATATATTCTACATGTACCATCTATCCATCATCTATACACCGCTTAATCCTCACCAGGGTCATGGGAGGCTGAAGTCTATCCCAGCCGACTCAGGGTGAAGGCAGGTTCACCTGGACAGGTCACCAGTCTATCACAGGGCTACACTTAGAGACAGACAACCAAGCACACGAACATTCACACCTACGGACTATTTAGAATCACCAATTAACCTCAACATGTTTTTGGACTGTGGGAGGAAGCCGGAGAACCCGGAGAGAACCCACGCTGGACGGGGAGAACATGGAGACTCCACGCAGAAAGATTCCAGTGCCCCCACAAACGGACGTGAACCGGCGACCTTCTTGCTGCGAGGCAACAGTGCTACCAACTGCACCACCTTGGCACCATGTACCATCTAAAAGTTCTCAAAATTTAAAGCTTTGCCACCAGACCCTGTAAATATAAACAAACACGCAACCGTGAAACTGACTGAGCTCAACAGTCAAAGACTCAGAGAGTTTTCAGGGTTGAACTGCAGGCAGTGTTTCCACAGAGCAGACTGAGGAAAATAAAACAAACTGGATCAATATAACAAAATGCAGCTCGGCTCAGAAACAGCGAACAGAGGAGCAGGTTGTTTGAAGATACATCCAGCACGGTGACAACTTTCCACAGCCGGTGAGCAGAGCAGATAGGAGAAGTCTGTTGTACAAATGTTTAAAGTTAAATATCTAAAGTATGTGGAGCCTCCGTTTCCCCTGTCGTGGTAACAGCTGTGGACACAGGGTTGGACGTGTTGATTTCAGCTGTTGTTCGGAAATATTTAAAGAAATTAAACTTCTTTTAAAAAATGATTTATGGCATTCCAGTTGTATTAAACTGCACAGAAGTCATTTTTGACTCTTCTGCTCATAGCTGTGATGTTTCCATGGAGTCATCCTGGACAAGTTTTCTGCATTTCAGACAAAGTTTGAGGACATGCGTCAAGTCATTTGGAGACATTCTGGGGATGCGAGATCATTTTTGTTATGACTTGTTTTGAGCAAACTGATGAATTTTTTGACAAATATGTTTCTTGAGAGGAAACTCTGAACAGGCTTCATGTGGACTGAGACTCTGAATCTGAACACAAACAGAGCAGCAGCTGCTGTTTGAGGTGTCGCCCTCATCCATTGTTCTTCAGACATCCCCCAACACGCCGACAGTCAGCATGTCTGCCTTCGCATTCAGTCTCTGATCAAAGGAGGCGTCTCCTCGTCATCGCCGAAACTCTCATGTAAATGCTTCGGTCTGACTCTGAATAAAGACTCTGCGTTGAAAGTTCTGCTTTAAAGCTGCAGGAGTCTTTTTACCGACGGAGCTGCCCTTATCTCAGAAATGCAAACGCTGTCCTGACGGTGGCGCTGCTTCGTCCACAGCTACTAGAAACACAGCTTCACTCCGTCATTCTGGGGTTTTGACATCAGGTTTTGTTCAAGTTAAAACTCCTGCGTGAAGTGAAGCGGCTCGAGCGCTCAGGGTTTCTGGACGGAATCCGACAAACAGATTTCCTCCTTATCTGTTCTCGCTGCCAACTAGGTGATTCACACCTGTATGTGTGTGTGTGTGTGCGTGTGTGTGTGTGTGTGTGTGTGTGTGTACACATCTACCTTTGTGAGGACATCCAGGCTCGTCCTCAGAGCTTTTAAAGGCCTCTTCCAGGCTTCGGGATTGAGAATGAGGGTCCTCACAAAAACAAAAGCGTAACTCTGTGTCTGTGTGTGTGTGTGTGTGTGAGTGTGTGTGTGTGTGTGTGCGTGTGTGTGTGTGTGTGTGTGTGTGTGTGTGTGACGACGGTTGGCGGTAGCAGCAATAATCGCAGCCTTCGAGGACAGCTCAGACAAAACAACGCCATGTGAGCTATAACTGACTGATCGGTGGGATTAAACGGGCGAAGGTGGGAAAAAGTAACCGGACACCTTTAACTGTCAAATCAATCCACGTTTAAGGAGGATCTTCACGCTGAAAGCACCAGCGAATAAACTCCATCACCATCTGATAAACCCACAGAGTCCACCTCTGATGTCTGGAAGCTGTGCAGGTTTGTGACGTCAACCGGCTGAACATTGAGTCTGAAGGGCTGGTGCTCGGCCTCCATCGTGGCTCTGGAAGACGTCAACTCTCTAAAGCTGCATTCAGCTCGAAAATATTTCAGGATGATTCGATCTTATTGTTTTCTTATCAATGACAAATCTTGAGCTCAAATATTACTCGGAATAAAGTGGATCCAGCTTCACACCAATAAACCACAGAACCAGTGGACCAAACTCAGCAAACTTAACAGACACGAAGCAAAAAAAACAAACAAACACAAACCAAAAGAGAGGAAATGCAAATTAAAACAGAAGAAACACAAAACAAAAAATTTAAAAAATGAAACTTAAAGAAAATCATAAACCACAAGATGGGAAATGGAAAAACAAGCAAACAAATACACAAACAAACAAAAAAAAAACAAGCCAAAAAGCAACAAACTCATACAAAGACAACAAATGCAACTTAAAAATTAAGGCACACAAACTAGAAAATCTGAAACTCCAACCAAACGATGAGAAATGCAAACATAAACCAAAAAAACAACTAAATTATAAACCATTAAACAACAAATGCATCTAAAAAATAAGAAACACAAACCAAAAACATTTGAAAATTAAATTAAAAATTTAAAAAATAATATACAAAATGCTCACAATAAATAACAAATGCAAACCAAAAAATAGGAAATGCAGCTGAACAAATGTAAAATGTAAACCATAAAATTCGACATACATAGGAAAAAGAAACGCAAATCAAAAACAAGAAATGCAAGAAGAAGTAATGTGAACCACAGAACAACAAAACGAAAATAAACATAAACCAAAAGATTAGACATGCAAAAACAAAAAAAAAAGAAATGCAAACCTCAAGAAATAAAACTAATAAACTCGTACAAAAAAATAACAAATATAATTTGTCTTATATGAAAACCAAATAATTAGGAACATAAACTGGAAGGTTGAGAAAAATGAAACAGAAAATATGAAACGCCAACCAAAAAAAAAAAAAAAAGGAATGCAGACAAAAAAGAAACAATTGAAACAAAAGACAACAAATACAAACAAATAAAAAAATAAAAATAAATGCAAACCACAAAACACGAACCAAAAATACAAAATTAAACTAAAAAAATGACGAAATTCAAACCAACAAATAGGAAATGTAGAAATGTAACGATAAGTCATACGGCTGTATGAAAAAAAATTAGATTGAACATGAACCAAAAAATAAAAACCCAAAGAAATAGAAATGCAAATAAAATAACGAGAAACACAAACCCGGAAAGACGAAATGTAGAATCTACGAAAGATAAAAGAAATGCAAAGCGAAAAAGTGGCAGTTCGTGTTGATGGTTTTGTCGTCATCGCTTTGTGTTTTTGTGTTTTTGTGTTTTTGTTATCGTCGCTTTAAGCTCGCGTGACTCAGACTCTGATTCGATGGAAACACTTTGTCATCTGTGCAGTTTATTTTTTCTTAAATGAAGCTTTCTGAAAGTAGACGTGATGTTAATCTGGTTCCCTGATTAGGACGAAGAGCTGAAGTGTTACCAAAACAGACATTTTCTTTTTAAAAAAATTTGAGTTTCAGAGGAATTTCAGGAACTTTTCTGATGGAAAAATTGATTTCAGGACACAGCGGAAGTTTCACAATGTTTTAATTGTTGCGACAAACTGCTTAAACCAGACACATTTACAGTGAATTAAGAGTAAAGGTTTGGAAGGTGAGTACAATCATGAAACAGAGGTTTTAACGTAGCTCAGCTGAGGACATTAACAGTTTTTGCATAGTTTGAATGTGTTACATATTGTTGATATACAGAATTCTTCATGAGTTTTTGGCAAAAATTACATTTAAAAGCTCCAAAACAGCGGAAAAATGTCCCTTTACACTCAAACAATCAGAAACAAGTAAATGAAGCAACGTGCAAAAAAAAAAATCTGATGTTCACCGCCACAGAAAAATACCTTCCTGTTAGCGGGAAGACGATTAACTCGGCTGTTACGGCGAACATTCACCGAAAGTCCACCTTTTGGGTTTCCGTCTGATTTAGTTCAGTGATCCAGTTAGGACCAGTTCTGTCCCGTCATGTGGTATCCGGCCGGGTCGCAGAGCTGACACTGGTTCTGCTGGCCAGAGCTCCGGTTTTTGGCATCGATGAGAAGCAAAGGAGACTGGGAGTAATGGTTGACGATGTCGCCAACTGAAGGGAAAGACTGAAAACACAAAACACGGTAACCACATTCGATCATACTGCCCTCTAGAGACAAAACATAGTAACTACAGCTGATTACACTGCCCCCTAAAGGCACAACATAGTAACTACATCGATTATACTGCCCTCTAGAGACCAAACACAAGCCGTGTCTCATTATGCATACTTGTCCGTACTTGCGTTCTTGCGGACTTGTGAAACGTCATCAGTGGGAGACCAAGTACTGTCCCAATTCTAAGTACGCATCTGACCAAGTACAGATGAAATGCCGGGATGTGTTCTCGCTCCGCCCACATTATCAAGTCTGCATCAGACCGGACTTGTGTGGACTTCAGACAGACAAGTATCCCAGACCGCAAGTATTTTTTGTAAATACTATTGTTATTGTGACACAAACTCTACTTTTATGGTTATTTTAGGCGAGAAAGTAGTGGTATAAACGCCAAACGTTGTCATTTTGTCAAGATACAGCCTGCTTAAAATTTTGCTATGACAATTTCAGAGATGTGAGTGTCCCAGTTTGACAGCTGTGAAGGCGGTGAGCGCTCACAGTAGCCGAGAGCCGCCTGATGTCGGTAAGACTTTCTGAAGTCTGCCGCTGACGGCTCCGTAGCGGTGAAACTGGGATATACGTAGTTTAGCGTCACACTTTGTCCTCACAGTGTCATTTGTTCATTGCTCACAATCGATTTAAAAGAAATTAAAGTTAATGTTGGAATGTTATATTTTTTTTTAGTGTACGTCTGAATTATTCTCCTGCTTTCATCACCTGTAGTACAGCCTTGTTCTATTCTTATGACTGTGACTGTGCATTAACATGTAAGCAATGTTTTAATGGAGGCCAGCTGGTTAAACGTCCTCCTGACTGCTGGGAGACTCCTCAGAACATGAGCAGCTCCATCCTGGACCTTCTGACGGAGCATCTTCAGCAGCATGAGGCTGTTTCCAGCTCCACTGAAGAGCATCAGGAGGAGCACAACGTTTTTCATCTGTATATGTTTGTAAGAGACTTTTGTCCTGTTATAAAATAAAATCTTATAAAAAATTATCCTGTTTATTAATTGTTCTATTTATTATGTATAGTTCTTGTCTATTTAAGTATTAAAATTCTCAACTGTATTCCAAAGATGAATGGTCTGATATGAAGTACTGAAGCCACAATTACATTTTCCTCCAACATCTGACCTGTTGATCAGACACTGCTGTCAACTAATTAACGGCTTCAATAAAGATTGTATAACGACCTTAGAAACCTCAACATGTATACATATTTATATATATATATTAAAACGTAGTTCAGCAGAGCTGTGTTATTGTGTTAAATTCGATTTTGTTGTTTTTCACGTTAAAGATAATCAGAGTAGATGAGCCGATGTGGTGACGTCATCGAGTACGCTGCTGTCCCAGCTGCACATAAACGGCGATGCGCTGTCCCGTACTCACAAGTACGGACTTGCGTACTTGAGTATTGAGACATGGCCATAGAAACTACAGCTGATTATACTGCCCCCTAAAGACAAAACATATTAACTACATCTGGTCGTACTACATCTGGAGGCAAAACATAGTAACTACAGCTGACTATACTGCCCTCAAGAGGCAAAATACAGTTACTACATCCAATTATGCTGCTATGCTATTATGCTAGTTAGTACATTCAAGGAACATTAATGTGAATGCATATGGCGTCATGCTTACCTCCTGGACTTTGAGTCCAGTTCCCAGCTGGAACTGCTGGTTCTGCTGCCTGATCTGGATGTTGTAGACTTTGTCCTGGTAGAAGACCATCAGGGTGAAGGGCTGGTTGGCCTGCTGCTTGGTGCTGTCCCTCACCAGGTACGCCCCGTCCTCAACAGAGACAGGGACAGACGTGTAAAACTACTGCTGACACCAGCTAAAATAATCTTTTATACTTCTGCTCCACTCGGGTGGGAATAATCTTTAATACACTGCATTTATTTACCAGCATGAACCACTGAATATGGTGTAATATTTACATTTAACAACATTATACTGACAGTTATCCGATACTTTTATTAAAAAAATACAGGACTTTAACTCCAAGTTAAGTTACTAAAAAAATAAGATATTTTCAGACTTCTTGCACAAGCAGTAACTTAAATTTTACCATCAAAGGAAAGCAAACTGCCCTGTTTATCTGCAGTGTTTTGGTTACCTTGCGGACTCGTTTCAGACATCCTTCAGCCTGACCCCGGGTCACTTTACCCACATACCAGCGAGGGTCCAGCTCCTACACACACATAAACAACAACAACAATCATAATTTCTGAGTTTATGTGGGTTTCAGCGGACACAAACACAAAGACAACAGCCCCACCTGCTGTTCAGACTCAAGAATGACCAAAGAAACACAATTTAGCTGGTTGCGTTTGCAGTACTTCTGCTACTACCACAAATAATTACTATAATAATGATAACAATAACAGCCCAAGGCCTTTTTTCCCTTTTGCATCACTTCTCACAGCTTTTTGATAATATTAGCACTGTTTTATCTCTAATGTGTCAAAGTTTGTGTCTTATTATTGTTTATATCTTATATTACAGTTGGCTATTTTATTCTGTTTGTATTTTATATTGTTCTAATTGTCTGATTTGTATTTGTCTTGTTGCATCCTGACATGTTTTGAAAAGCACTTTGTGACTCTTTTTAAAAAAACACTGTATTGATGAACTTGATAATATTAATATTATTAGTCTCACCTGCTTCAACAGGCTTGAGTGACACAATAACAGCAGTAATAATAATAATTTATACAGCAGATTTAACATATACAATGCAGCACAAATGTTAGACATTAAAAACAACAATAACATTACAGAAAGACTAAACTACTTTAGTCCTAAATATTACATTTTTGTCATTAATCTGACTTTTTCATGTCCGTATTGGGCAAAAAAAGGTCAAAAAAGTGTGACAGATTCTTGACAAATTTATACACAAGCTGTGATCCAAATGAATCTGCTCAGGACAGTTTGTTGGTGCTGTGTGTGTTGTTGTGTTACCTTTGCTGCTGTGGGTAGAGGTGGACGAAATGACGGTCTGTCCCCTGCAAACACACACAGTCACGTTTCCATCACTTACATTCATTCACTGGAGACATGAACAAGCAAACCCTTCAACCAAACCTCATCCTAAAAGGCAGGTTCATTGTTTTTTTATAGCCTGCGTTTGTTTTACAAGAAGGTAAAAGTCAAGCTGCAACAATTTGTCAGTTGAAAGACTAATCAGCAAGATTAATAACTTCCATCACTTTTTAGTGCACAAATATCAAATGCTTGTGTTCATAAATTAGATTTGTTTCAGTTCTGGACTGTTGGCTGAAGAAACCAAGCAGGATGTCACTCTGGGCTCTGTTATCACATTAACCAATACAGTATTAGGAGTTTAACTGATAGTAATTATGATAGATGCAGCCCTAATTAAAAGCAGCACAACTGTCTGTGAGCAGCTCCTTTTTTCGTTTATTATGAATGTTAAGACATTTATTACTGTGATATTGAAGGAATTTTAAAAACAGTGAAAAACAGTGAGATTCTCAGGCAGCTTCTGCACTGCGTGTTCTCTCTCATTTTTAAGTGGATTTCTGGAGGTTTTTTTGTGATGGACGTTAGAGATAATGATATTCTCAGAAAGCGGAAGTCAATTAAGTCCGAACATACATCTTTCATGTGTGAGTTCAGGTCTGACTGAGTTCTGTTAAGATCCAGTCAAAACGTGGAATTAAAGTGCAAGGAGCAACATCAATTCAGTGAGAAGACGAGAATCTTTTCCAAAGTAGTTAACTATTTAGTGTTTGTGTTGCTGTCTACTTACCGGAGGGCAGTTTGTGTGGCAGAGAGCTTCTAGAGTGAACAAACAGAACAAGCAGATTATTCACTGTACGTATCTTCGTACGTCACTTATCAAATTCAGCTTTGGTGCTGCCTAAATTCTGGTTGTCTGGGGGAAGAAAACAGCAAATAACCTGCAAAAAACTTCATCAGCGAACTACTTAACCCTCCTATTATCTCTGGGGTCAATGTGACCCCATTTAATGTTTAACATCTCTAAATAAGTCATTGACATAATTTTTTCAGTTTTATTTTATGGGCTATTTACACATAAACTTGGGTAACAATTTTAATTATGATATTTTCTGGAAGTTTAAATTGCTAGGGTCAAATTGAACCCAAGAATAAAATGTCAGTAAATTTGAAGGTAATCGAAGAGTTAAAATGTTTAAACTGTTACTGCGTGGTGTGCCTCAGGGCTCCATTCTCGGACCACCGTTATTTGTTTTTTGTCACTTGATATTCATTCTCATCCACTGATTGAATTGGTTTCCAGGAATATTTGAACTTAAGGTGATTCAGTTGCTCATGTGGAGTAATTAAAAGCAGATTGACTGTCACTGATGTAAAAATTCAGCTTGGATCTTACATGAGAATAATGAAAAGTTATAGCAGTCAAACACCTCTTACTAATAATAACGGACTGAGATAAGGAGAACAACATATTACATCAGTACTGGTGTTATTATTATTACTATTACTCACATTCTTTAGTATCTCCTGATTTATTATGTGGCGATATTGTTAAAGCAAGGACATTTTCCATCACAAATATTATTTAAATTACAACACATTATTTGCATTTTTAAAATATCTGCTTATATATAAAAGTTAAAGCTGAAGGAGAGATACCTTCCACATCATTTCATGCGTTCATTTTAAATCTAACTCCCAGATTTGCTCAACTAGTGACAAAAATAAATAAATAAATAAAAAATCAAGTTGCTAGTTTACATACCTGTCTTCTGGACGTGAGTGGGGAGGTCCAGGGCGGGGGGGAAGGCTTTTACTGCTGAAGGCGGAGGTGTTGTGTCTAGAACCTGGAAGAGAGAATCACAGTGACAGCATTTATCCAATACATTTACAAATACTATTTAATTTGGAGCACACTGCCTCTGTTCAGGTTTATTAACAGACATTGTGATTTACGGTAACATATTTTTGAAATTATATGATGATCAATTTTAAAACAGAGAAAATGAAATGAAAAGTTAAAATAATCAGAAGAAATCTCACCTTCATCGGGTGTTTGCTGAAGAGGAAGGAGAAGAAAAAAGTCAGAATTCAAGCAAACAATTAAGATCTTGAAGAAAAATATTTGACGACAACAATTCAGACGACAACACAAAATCTGCCTTCATGGGTCTTTCCAGTATTTGTAAAACACACAACTTATTTCATGCTTTATACTTGTTTTGCTCATATCTTCAATGTTATTTTACTATTTAAATCTTTGTTTTCATGTATATCTTACATTATATGTAAAGCGTGCTGGATTACTTGTTTTTTTTTGTTTTTTTTTAAACTTCCAAACTTACTTTATTTTTGGGGTCGAAGGCTTTTATGAGTTTGCGTAATTTCAGCTTTTTCTAATATAATATAAAATGTGTGTTTGCATACATGTCTGTCCTGGTGCAGATATTATGTTATTGTGACTTTTACACAGTTAGAGCTGCAACAATTATAATATTTTCTGTTTTTTTTTTCTTTCCTCCTGTATGACTGTAAATTGAACATCTTTGGACAAAACAAGACATTTACCAGTGACAGTTTACAGTTTTCACCATTTGCTGACATTTTATAAACCAAACAATTAATCCATTAATGGAGAAAACAATCTTCAGATTTATAAGTTGTAAAAACAGTTGTCAGTTGAAGCCTTATTTATAATGAGAAAAAAGAAGAAGTAGCCACAAACCTCCCGCCTTCCATCAAACCTGTTGGACCAAACCACAAAAGAGTCGGATTAACATTTACTAGCTCGACTGAACCGAAGAAAAACAAAGATGACAACAATCACACACTAGAATTAAAGTTGTTAAATTCAAACACTGACATACCAAACTAACTCCACAAGAGTAATTTATTCAATTCAGTTCAGTTCAGTTATATTTATAGTGAGAGATGATTCATTGGAGGACCTGTTGGGCGAAGGCCTGGCGGAGGAGGCACTCCTGCCGATGGGTTTTCCAGACGGAACAAGAGGTTTGTGCCAGCTGGGAGCATCTGTGGCATCAGAATGAGGCCTGAACGCACAAACACACACATGTAACTGTATACAATCAAATAGAAGAGTTTTAGGACCAAATAAAACAACATTAAGTAACTGTTTTCACCAACACACCAGTTAAACAATTATTAAATAGCAAGGATGCAAACGCAGTGTACTTTTTGTCGTTTGTAGTTAAAATGCTCATATCAGTGTGTGTAAGTGTGAGTACAAACCTCCGGGATTGTGAGTCCGGCGGCTAGAAACAGAAAAAAAAACAATAAAAACCAAACGTTAACAAGACGAAATAGTTAAATGGAAGTTGTTGGTGGTGGTGCAATGGTGGAGTTCCTCAAGGTTCAAGTCTGGGTCCCTTTTTGTTCCCCAAAAACATGTAACGGAATTATATTTACAAGAATTGAATCCATAACTGCTCTGTGTGATCGCTAGAGTTACGCTATTATTGAAATTGTAAAAATAAGAAAAATCTGCATTTTTTTCCCAACTTTCTGAGAGAAACTCGTCATGCGTGACTTGGACTCCATTTATCAGTCAGAAACTGAAACAACAAAAAGCAACATCAGATTTTCAACTTTCCATCAGAAAAATGAACTAAATCTCAGCTTAACATTGTCACGTCGACAAGTTCACTTTATTCTATGTCTCCCTTTAAAAAAAAAAAAAAAAAAGGCCAAAATAAAGCATTGGAAGTCACCAGATTCTGTAAAAAGATAAATAAATCTGCACTCCTCAGTGCAACTGTGAAGCCATTTGTGATTCAGCTGCAACCAACAGTCATTTTTTGCAAAACAAACAAAGAAAATCAGCCTCATGGCCTTCTAACTGTGTCATACTGGCATTTCTGGCATTCTGAGGCATTTCTGAGCTCACTCTGCTTCCATCCATGGTTGTATTGTTTCAGTAGAGGTGCAGGACTTTATAGTGCAGTGAAAATTAAACCCGCAGTGAGGAAAAATGTGCCAAAAGTCAAAATATATGCCCAGAAACTTCTTAAAGTGGTTTCTGGATGATTAAATACAGTTTATTGAAAGGAAACTTACTGCTACCAATGTGTTGCGATGCGGTCCTGTAAAGAAAAGACAACAATTAGATTAATACCCGGACATCAGTGACAGATCAATTCTGTGTATTTATCACATTATCACATGTATTTATTTATTTTTTTAAGGAAGCCGGCTGCTGCTGCTCCAATGAAAACTATGAAAAACAACACAGACAATAAAGTCGCTAAAACAGCATGAAAGATATAAAGGTGACAGAGAAGAAATTGAACTAAAAACTGGACGCTAAACCATTTTCTGTTTCTTCCTTTGTTTTCTCGCAGCTCCGAGATGAGCCACTAGATGGGACTAGTCTTTTATTTATGCATTATAATAATAATAGTCACAACAAAACTGACTAAAACTGAGATTTTGAAGGTTTCCTGAACATGCAAAAACTGTAGACCATTTCAGGTCTGTCGTATGTGAAAAACAATACACAGAACGATTTAATAAAATGTGAAGAAAAACAGTGGGTCACTTGGCGATAGTGGGTCCTGGGTTTGGTTTGTTACCTCTGATAGGGGACGGGTTGGATCCTGAATCTCTGCCTGGCTTGTTGACTGGCTTGTTGCCTGATTTGTTGTTGCTTGGTTTGTCTGTGCGGATGACTGGCGGCGGCACCCCAGGAGGAACTAAACACAAACACCAGCTTTTAGCGTTACAACCAGAGAACTGTGCAGGCTGTCGTATATGTGACCCACCTGCACGAAATCAGTCGCATTGTGCCCGAATTACGTTAACACGCTATAAAATATTGATTTTGGGTTTATTACTTAGATTGGTCCATTTAGTTGTTTTCTACATGTGGGTAACATATAATATTACACTCCATGTCACTGTCAAATATTGTCAGACGCAAATGGACTGCACTTACATTTGTGTTCAAAATAATAGCAGTGTTTTTAAAACGTGAATAAAGCTCAAAATCCTTCTAATATTTTTATTTGCATTCACTGGGAACACTGCACATTATGTTTTACATCAAAACATGAAGAAAAATGCATCAATATTCTAATTACTTTACAGAAAATGAAGGAAAAAATGCTATTGGGCTGTGCAGGTACAATGAAATCTCAAGACTATCAAGGTGTTCTAGAGAGAAATGTGCTGCCCAGCGTCAGAAAGCTTGGTCTCAGTCTAAGGTCATGGGTCTGGCAACAGGATAATGACCCAAAACACACACAGCTAAAAACACTCAAGAATGGCTCAGAGGAAAACACTGGATTATTCTGAAGTGGCTTCTATGAGTCCTGATCTAAATCCTATTGAACATCTGTGGAAGGAGCTGAAACATGGCGTCTGGAGAAGGCACCCTTCAAACCTGAGACAACTGGAGCAGTCTGCTCATGAGGAGTGGACCAGAACACCTGCTGAGAGGTGCACAAGTCTCACTGACAGTTACAGAAATGGTTTGATTGCAGTGATCACCTCAAAAGGTTGATAACAAAATATTAAGTTCAGGGTACCATCATTTTTGTCCAGGCCTGTTTCATGAGTTGATTTTTTAAAATAATTCTGTTGAACCAAAAGCAATGTCTGATTTTCATTGGTTCATTTTCACAGAATTTTTATTTATTATTACTTTTGTCAGATCCAAGTTATTTCTGTGACCGTTGTGGGTTTTTCTTTCATTAACCGAGGGCTACCAACTATTTTGTCCACGTGTATATCTGTGACCTGCGGCTGTTTGCGGCGTTTAATGGATGTTCAGACAAACATCTCTGGATCACTGTGATACTGAAGGAAACTTCTCAGGCAGCTTCTGCAGCAGAAACTTTCTCTGATTTCTAAGTGGATTTTTGGAAGGCTCACTGTGATGGACGTCAGAGTCGATGACATCTTCAGAAAGCTGAAGTCGTACCGTATCCGAGCATATATGTTTAATGTGTTTGAGCTGAGATGTGGCTGAGTTACTGTCTCTGAGAAATCGGACAATTTCTGATCGTTTCAATGTTTCAGTGTAATTAGTCCGGATGACCACACATGTTTGGGTTGCCACTGGTTACTCACAATTTCCTGCTGTTCGTACAATAGGGGAGTGGTCTCTCCTGGAAGCCGACTCTCCAGGCTGCACAATGACACGAAAGATCCAACACATAAATTTTAAAGAATCATCCTGCTGTATTTCCCATTGACCCTCTAAATCACAAAACTCGACAGCGGTTGGAAACACACTGCTAAAAATTATACCAACACAAGATTTTCAACTTTCCATCACAAAGCTTAACCAAATTGCACCTTAAAATCATGGCATTCCATCAAAATCATTTTAGTCCACGTTTCTCATTTTAAAATTCACCAAAAATAAACTGCTTCTGGAAAACAAAAAATTCATTCATTAGTGATTCAACTGCACCCAACAGTCGTGCTGCAACAATTCAGGGACCGTTCGGCTGAACTGCAGGCAGTGTTTCACACAGAGGAAACAAGAATGGAAGCTAATTTAAAATGTTTTTAAAAAAATTTACGTGAACTATTTTGTGTTTTCCGTCTGACACAGAAATTAACGGACATCGAGCTAACTGCATTAGCTGCACGTTCGTCCACAAATAATTCACAGTTAATTCACAAAGTTTGCCGGCTGTGAATGAAGCCTGGTGGCGCCCCCCTGTGGTGGATGTTTTACGATGAGTTTAACCAACTCACCATGCGGGGCGACAAGGTGGAGGGAGAGGGGCGGGGACACGGGGCAGGAGGCAGGCCTCTCTCCCGGTTATCTGCACACATATGACAGGAGAATCCACATTAAACCGCAATTAACAAAAGTCACATGTGTGTTTTCCTGCCTCATCATCATGACATCTGTGTCTACACCATCTGTCAGGAAACGTTCCACAATGTTGGGTAACATTACCGACAAGTTGTGGTCTTTTTTTTTCTTTTTAAAGAAAATGCATGTTTTCATGTCCAGTAATGTTCCTATAATGTTAGTATAATGTTTTACTGTCAAGAGCACAGATTATATTCCAGGATGACAAAGGAGGAACCAATATTCAAAAAATGTTTTCCACATGTTTCTACAATGAAAACAAAGGACAGATGTTCTCAATGTAACATTTAAGAAACACTTTCAAGATTTTACTGAGACTTAAATCACAGAACGATCTGATAAGTCGCTCCTGTAGTATGATATATTAACAAAGGTGGAACATTCTGCCTGCAATGTTCTGAAGATGTTTTGGGGATGTTGTTGAAGGAACACATTATGGGATCTATAAACACTCCCACAGCACTGCTTTGATAACAAAGGAAGAACGTTCTCGGTGTAATATTCAGTTTTGAGAACGTTGAGGCACAACAGTCTAACAGCGTTGGTAGCAATTTAACTCAGAGATTTTCTGGTCTCAACTTGGGTTTGAGGGTCTTGACTTGGGATTGCTGATGGTAACTTGGGACTTGTAGGGCTTGACTAAGGACTTGACTTTCTTGATACCAGTCTTGACTCAGGACTTGACATAGGACTTAACTCAGGACTTGACAGTCTTGGGTCTTTCTGGTCTCGCCTCAGTTTTGACTGTTTTGACTAGGGACTTGCTGGTCTTGAATCAGGTCAGGACAGTATTTACTTTGCACTTTGATTTTGTTGGTATCAACTCAGGTCTTCCTAGTCTTGAAACCAGACTTGACTTGGGTCTTGTTGGTCTCAACTCACATCTGGACTTCAGACTTGTTGGCATCACCTCAGATCTTGAGAGTCTTGATCGAGAAGTTCACTTCAGCCTTGTTGGTCTTGACTCAGGTCTTGACTTTCTTGATTCAGGACTTGACAGTCTTGATTCAGGACCTGACTTGGCACTTTTTAGTCTTGACTCAGGACTCGATGTGGGTCTTTCTGGTCTCGCCTCAGTTTCAACTGTTTTGACTTGGCATGTGTTGGTCTTGAATCAGGTCATGACAGTCTTTACTTCGCACTTTGATTTCGTCGGTATCGACTTGGTCTTGATATAGGACTTGACTTCTGTCTTGTTGATCTCGACTCAGATCGGGACTTCAGATTTGTTGTCTTTACCTTGGATCTTGAAACTCTTGATTGAGGAGTTCACTTTGGACTTGTTGGTCTTGAATCAGGTCTTGATGTGGGTCTTTCTAGTCGTGACTTAGTTTTGACTGTTCTGACTTGGGACATGTTGGTCTTGAATCAGGTCTGGACAGTCTTTATTTAGCACCTAATTTGGGTTTTGTTGGTATCTACTCTTGTCTTGCAGGTCTCAACTCAGATCTGGACTTCAGACTTGTTGGCTTTACCTCAGATCTAGGGAGTCTTGATTGAGGACTTTACTTCAGACTTGTTGGTCTTAACTTAGGTTGTGAATAGAGACTTTAGTTTTTAGTTATCCTTCCCTTAAGAAGAACATTATGGGAATTAAGAGAAAACTTCTTGCTGAAAACAGTAGAACTTTGCAGAACTTTCTCAGAACGTTTTTGGAGAAAATATAATTCTAGCTGAGTGTTTTATTGCAATTAATATCATGGTAGTGGTGTGGCTGCTGTGGTACCGATGTAGTCGCCATCCCCGATGGGCAGCGGGGAGCACAGCGAGGCAGCCAGGTCCTCTTGAGGTTCAGAGGGAGGAGGCTCGTAGTCGTTGGCCGGGTCCACGTCGTCGTTCGGGGACTCGTAATCTCCGCCGCTGCCCTCCTCGTCTCCGCTGCATGGACTCTCGTAGTCATTGTCGCAGTCGTCCTGACAGAGGAAACGGAAAAACAGGTTGAGCCTGCATCACTGCAGCCAGCGATTGTCCTGAAACCTGATTTAGTTCCAACAATAGTTTTATTTATTTAGTAGAGAAACACTAAAAAAAAAGAAAGAAAAAAGGTTGAGTCAAGTTTTTTAATTTAATTCTAAATTTCTGTCTTTTAATCATCTGTGAATAGTCAGTTAGAATCAATTAGAAATAATCATTTTGGGGAAAGGAAATTAATGTAGCCACATAAAGAATAAATAAGCACATGAGAAAATTATTAATTTGTTTTTTTGTTTATTTATTTATTTACATGTTTGTTTCATTTAGTTGATAAAAGTTAAAAAAATAGTTGAGTCTGGTTTCTAATTTAATTCTTAATTTTGGTTTTCTCATTTTGATTAGTCACCATATTTGCTGCATTTTTTTTACTAAATGTCACCATTAAATTTTGTTGTTTTTTCTTTTACCGTATTGTTTATTTTTAGAGATTGTTCTGTTCATTAAATACACCCAAAAACATAGAAACAAAATAAATAATAAATAGAAGTGTATATATATATATATACTTATGTATATTTTAAAGTATGACTACAATAATAAAATGATTCATTAAAAAAATTAAATCCAATTTATCAGTAATAATACACTATGTTTGGGGAAAAAAATCATTTAGCCAAATAAAGAATACATAAATATATAAGCAAATTTCAATGCATTTTTATGTTTATTTATTTACACACTTGTTTCTACTCTGTTCATCATTTTGTTCATTTACAAGTTAAAATTATATATTTTTTTATTTATCACCACATTTATTTAAGTAAACATGCATTCATTGATTTATTTCCACCGTTTCATGAAAATAGACAAATGTAGAAATTACTAAATACAAGTGGATGAAACAGATATAAATG